GAATGGCAGAATTTGGAGAGAGCAGGGCTTGGGGCTAGAGCTTGGAGAGGGCAGAGCTGGGAATGGCAGAATTTGGAGAGAGCAGGGCTTGGGGCTAGAGCTTGGAGAGGGCAGAGCTGGGAATGGCAGAATTTGGAGAGAGCAGGGCTTGGGAGAGCAGAGCTTGGGGAGGAATGAATGAGAACAGTGTTTGGGGAGAGCAGAACTGGGGAGAGCAGAGTTTGGGGATAGAGTTTGGAGAAGGCAAAGTTTGGGATAGCAGAATTAATTAGGGAGAGCAGAGTTTGGGATAGCAGAATTAGGGAGAGCAGAGTTTGGGCAGGGCGGAGTTTGGGAAGGAATGGATGAGAACAGTGCTTGGGGAGAGCAAAATTTGGGATGACAGTTTGGGGAGGGCAGAGTTTGATGAGGGATGGGTGAGAACAATGTCAGGGAAGGGATGGTTCGGGCAGGACAGGCATAAAATCGGCGAGGAAAAAAGGCAGGAACAGGCAGAGAAGAAGGGAGATCTCTCTCAGGCTGGGGACAGGAGGGCAGAGCACAGTGGTGGTTGTGGGGAAGGTGGTTTGTGGTGCCCCAGAGATGCAGGGAAGCTATCCCTGGGCTGTGCTCTCTGCGGGATGCCCGAGGCTGCATTTCCCCAGCCCTTGCCAACATCCCACGTGCAGATTTGTGCCCTTTCCCATTTCCAGGTGTGTGGGAGAACTTGGGCAGCCCCAGCTGATGGAACTGTGCCCATCTTGAGGATGTCGCAGCACAACCCCAGCCTGTGCCAAACCCCACAGTTCATGCACTAGGTCACTGTGGGGTCTGACCTAAATCCCTCTGACTAGTTTGGATTTAGCCCCAGGATGTTTCTCAGCCCTTCAGCAGCTTGTGTGGACAGCAGTGATGCCTGTGGCAGAGCAGGAAACTCATCACAAACAATCTTTGTGTCCTTTTAGTCAATTTATGACATTCACATGTCCTGGCCTGCAACTGGCAATCAACTCCTGGCTCTAAAATAGTTTTCTCTCAAACAAATTTAATTTTATCTGCCTTATTCTCCTGCCGAGCTCTTTCTCAAGGGCCGGCCCAGAGAGGATCATTTGAAGGATTATTTTATTTCCAACATCCCTTCTTGAAAATAACCACTTTCAATTTTAATAGTTTTAATTTTAATAAGTTTAATAACCAATAAGGCACTTTTCCTGTCCATTCCTCAGTGTTTGGTCCCTGCAAGTTCTGTGGGAAGATCCAGGAAGTCCTGGATTTGTTGGTGGGTTCTGTCAAATCTCTGAATGTTGACACACATCAATAAATCATGTTTGTTTTGCTCTGCAGTGGGGTTATGGAGACCAGGAGTGATCAGGCCCTGGTTGGAGTCCAGAATTATTTGGAGGTAGGTCTTTGCTAGTCTTGTTGTCATGGAAATGAAGCTTTTAGGGTCACATTGTTCAGCTCCAGAAATTACCAGGGGTTAATATTGAGACAGACACTCAATAAAACTGGCAGAGTGCTAAACACTGTCAAGTTCAAAACAAAATACTTAAAGTGATGCCATTACACAGATTCTGCCCTTAAAAAGTTGTGAACCCTTCAATGAGATTATATTGAGCCCAGAACTGACTCTGAGAGCCCCTGCTGGGGTGCCGGCCCACCGGAACTTTGTTAGGACCTGTGGCTTTGCCTCTCCTTGTCCTTAAAACTGCCTCAATTCTGCTTCGTGTCCAATTCCTTGATGGATTCAGCAGCTGGATGCTGTCTGCTCCCAGGAGAGGAGTCTGCCCCTGACAGTGGTTTTCAGAACAAAGCACAGCAGGATGTCCATTGTTCTGTGCTGCTTCCATTGTTTTTGGAGTTCTGTTATGCCAGGGGAAAAAAAAAGTTATGATCCTGTTATCCCTGCACTGCTCCCAGGGATTCCCTTGGACCTGGGAATGGTTTGAGGACGCCAGGTGCTATTTGGGCTGGCAGTGAGTGTGAACAGGAGTGTAAAAACCCCATTTTTACACCCAGGAGTAAAAAATAGAAAATGGGTCATAATCCAGTTGTGAATTAAAACTGTGAATTAATTACAGGCTGCTGTTGAGCTGCTGAGTCTGCTGCAGGAATCAAAAGTAAACTGAATTGCTTCTCTTGTCTTGGAAGCATCATGGAGTTAAAATGAAGCTTGTGCCTGTTGGGAAGAGGTTGTTGAGCTGATTTCTGCAGGTCAGAGCACACCCGGGCATTACTTTTGTCACTGAGCTCCCATTTGTGGTCAGTCTGTCTGACCCAAAACACCAACTGCAGCACTTTGGGACGCTCTGCTGTGCACTGGCTGCAGCCCTGGTGGTGTGAAGGACAGAGCTGTCCGGGGCAGCCTCGGTGTCCCACCCCAGTGACATGGCCAGCACATCCCCACGGGGCTGAGAATTAATTCCTGCTGCAAACACTCCAAAGGAAATTACAAGGAATTACAGCTGGAATCAGAGTTCTCAGGGTGTATTCGTGTGGCTTCTTGCCCAAGACTGTGGCAGAGAAAGTGTCTAAATACTGTGCAGAGCCTGAAAGAAGAACCCAAAAGGGTTTTCTACCCCATTTATCTCATTCTCTGAGCCATGCAGGGCCCCAGGCTCTGGACTTGGGGTGAGCCCAGCAGTTGTTCTGCGTTATCCCAGGGATGTCTGTGCAGGCAGATGGGTAGGGTGGGTGATGAGAGGAGGAAAGAAGAGGAGAAAAAGACAAACATGAACTTATTTGGTGTTGCCTTTTCCCAGTATCAGCACTTTGCAGGCCAGCTCGGTGCTTTCATGTGGTGGTATTGATGCTGGGCACTGCTGTGTCTATTGGAACCACGTGGGGAGCCTTAAAGCAGCTTTAATAGAAAACTTCTGGGGCCTGCAGGAATTTCTCTTCCTTCCTCCTTTTCTCTGCAGCCTCGAACTTCACTGCTTTCCCCAAAGCCAGGAAGGCAACAGAAGGGAAGGGCAAAATTAAAGCTGTAATGAGATCCTTATTATGTTTTGAGGATGTTCAGCCATTTGTTTGCATTTCCAGGCAAGCAAATAACCTGGGAGGTGCAGACTTGGTGTTTCAGCATCTGTCTCATGGAAATGGGAATGGGCTGGTTGGTTTTGTGCTGAGGGAGAGTTGCTGAACAGCTCTGTTTGTCACCCTCTGTCACTGCAAAGCTTTTTTAGCTTTTTAGTCCTTGGTGCTACTCTGTGAAAGAGCCCTGGGACTGTCCAGAGGAAATGGAGCCTTCTTTTAGTCCAGAGATACTTATAGGAGCTTTTCATCTCTCTTCGAGGGGGGTGAGCTTTGCTGGCAACACTTTATTTCTCGGAGACAAGTCTTGGAGCACTGGGAATCCCAACTTGGGCCCAAAGCAAGTTCCAGGCCTTGCTTCCCCTGACGGGGAGGTTGGAGCTCTGTGATTTGGCTCCCTCCAGTTCTTTGTGGAAACTTTCAACATCCAGGGCTTCAGGCTCTGTCTCAATTCTTAGAAAAGTCTCTGCTGCAAAGGAAGATCTCACCTTTCGCTGTTACTTGTGGTGAAAAAACACCTGCTTGGGATCTACAGAGTTCCCTTCCCTCTCAGGCCAGCCTGGAACCATCTTCCATTTCCCAATTTGCTGGGAAATTCTGCCCAAACTCATCTTCCCCTCACAAAACCCTGTTTTGGCCAGCAGCCTTGAGCTAAGGGCTGATATTGTTCCTCATGAAAGGAAAAGGGAGCAGGAGAGGAGAGAAAGGAGAAACACCAGCTCCTTACTATGCAAGGCAGCTCTGGTACAACCTCCTTCCCCACAGCCTTTAAAAAAAGAGCAAGAAATTCAAACAAAGAGAACTGTCATCTTCAGCCTCTGTTTTGATAATAATTCCAGTGATGTCAGAGATTGCTGTGGAAACCTTCTCTTCTAACAAAATCCACATTCTCAGTGTATCCTTCCTGGCATTCACTTCCATTTTATATATCCAACTGAAAATGAGCTGGATTTTTAATTAGTTTCAGCTGATATAGCACCCAGTGAGTCAGGGAGGCTGTGATGACTTGCAACCAGAAGCTTGCATGTTATTAATTATTATAACACTGTAATTAATAAATTGTGCAGCTCCCTGGCAGGGCATTGCAGCCCCTGTGCCTGAAGCTGTTCCAAAGGATGAAACCATGACCGATGCAGCTTCTGGGGAAGAGAAATTTATTTTTCCAAAACATTCTCAATGCCTGTAAAGGTTAATGGAAAATCTGGAGGATATTTTTTTATTATTATTTTTTATTCAGACTTCAGGAGGAGAAGTGGATGAACTTTTGCTCCCCTGCCGTGGGTGATGTTCATCAGTGGGCCTGTTCTTCCTCCTGCCCCTCCAGCATGAGAGGAAAACTAAGCTGGGAGCAATAAAAGCAATCTGGAATGTGGATCCATATCATTCTGGCAGCCAGCAGTGGAAATTCCAGCGTAATTCAAGCTATGGAAGTGCTCAGTAAATGAAGCCTGTTAGCAGGACAGAGCAGCTAAACACAATTAATGCTTTCCCCTCATCCCTGGCATGCCTGAGGGATAAACTTGCACTCTGGGATGCTGCTGGCTGCTCCAGGAACGCGGCTGTGTGGAAAAAATCAGGATGAATGCAGATGGGTGTGATGTGAGAGGCTTCCAGCAGGTGCCAAAGCCAAGACTTCAGTGTTTATAGCACCTGCTAAAGAAAAAAAAATTATGTTTCCTGTGGCTTAAAGGAGGGAGGAGAGATCTGTGAACTCTTAGCACACGCAGGACAGCCCAGCTCCTTTATTCCTTTCTCTTCTTCATTTCTTTTTAGCTGGGTGAAATGCTGAACTCCTGCTTTAGTTCCCCCCTGGGAACCCACAGATGATCCCAAACAGGATGGGGATCTGGATTTACAGCACTGAAGCCTTTGGAGATCCTCAGATGAAAGCCCTGCCTGTTTTAGGGGCTTGTTTTTGCTGCAAGGGCAGGAAAAACTGGTCCCTATCCAAGCAATTCCTGCATGTAAATAATGCACCTTTTTTGAAATTCAGGGTGGGAGATATTAGGAGATTAAAGTGCACAGGAATGAGAGGAGGAAACCTTCAGTGCTCAAAGGATTTTGGATATTCAGATAGGAGATATTTGCAAAGGTGAAGGGGTTATTTCATAGCTGCCTGCAAAGAGAAGTTCAGCACTTTAGAAACTCTCAGGAGATTATATCCCATCCAAAAGAACTCAAATATTAAAATTCAAGCTGGAGGAAGCAGTTGGTAGAATATTATCAGGGTATTTTTGGGTGCCTGTTGTGTTGGAGGAAAAATCCACAAAGTTTTGAGCTCCACAAAGTGAGATTTACTTGTGGCATTGATGGTCACATTCCTCCTTTGGATGCTCAGTAAGGTGGGAAAAATCTGATGGAGAATGGCAGCTGTGAAAATCCCATTTGTGGAAAGAAAATCCCCAGTCCTGCACCTTTGTGGATTTGCTGGCTGAGCTGAACAGGGGAAATAACCAGATTTACTTGAGCCTCTGCTCCTCTTTTCCTCTCCACTCTGGTTTCCAGTGGAGAAATGCAGCGTTCTGATGATCCAGCTTGGTTCCTGATTATCCACATGGAGTTGGGATGCACTGAGGGATCCAAAGCAGTGCTGCACCCAAGCCTGGAGCCAAAAAAAAGAGGATGTTTTCTATGTTCTCTCCTGCTGTCTCACTCAACTCTTGTTTCCACTGGCTGCTTTTTGTCTGCTGAGGAAAGAGGGGGAGAGAGGGAAGGAGGAGCCTGCAAAACCCAAACATCTCTGGAGAAACTTTGCTCTTAAAAATCAGCTCCTGCTCTCAGACAAATTGCTGAGGCACAAGCCAAGGCCTGCTGCAGGAAACGATTTCATTCCTCTCTGCTTGAGGGTGATAAATAAAGGTTTTTTCACTGTTAATTGTAACCACATGTGAACTCCAAATGGAAGGATTAGGAAGGGAAAAATCAGTTTGGTTCTATTTCCCAGGCCTCTCCCTGCAGCTTGGTTACATCTTCCTCTGCCTCCCTGTGCGTTTTCATGGAACATTTCAGAGAGCCCAGAACCCTGACGGCTCCAAAAGGAGTCTGGAAGGTATTTGTGAGTCAGCAATTCAAACTTTATTTACTCTTGTACCAAATTAAAATGCAATAAAAACTGCTGGGTTCAGTGCTTGGGAGTGGGGATGGGAAGGAGAAGGAAATTTTGAGTCATTCCTCTGGTTTTCTGCCTTCTTTTGTGGTTTTTCACCCTTTCAGATGTTTCACTTATTCCCTGTAGTAATTTTCACTGGATTTTCTGTCTGAGGGCGTGGGGTTTGGGTTGAAATGAGCTGAAATGGGTGATCCTCTGTGTATTTTACCCCTCGCCCAATGACACAAAGCAGAGGGTAAAGAGATGAATGTTTTTTCACTTGGTTTTGTGCACTTAAGGAAGCTCATGTGACACAAAGCAGAGGATAGTGAGATGAGTAGTTAGTTTTGACTTTATTTTGTGCACCCAGGGAAGCTCTCATGGCATTTTGGATGCTCTGTGTGAGTTGATTTCAGGGCAGAAGCCGAGAAACCACTGATTTTAGGAGAAATTCCCTCAAACAGCCTCTTCTCCGTCACTTCTTTTCAACCCACAGTAACTCCAAACTCCTCTGGGAGCAACACAGAGGTGTGGTTGGCCAGGAGGAGGATGTTTTTGCTGAGTTTCCCCTTCTGTGTGTTCCAGGAGGCAGCACAGAAGCTGAGGCCCAGCGCTCCCATCAAGTTCCACATCTCCAGCCGGACGGACACCGGTGTCCACGCGCTGGCCAACGCCGCCCATCTGGACATCCAGAGGGCTCCAGGCAAGGCAGCTTTCACTGGCGAGCAGCTTGCCCAGGGGCTCAACTACCACCTCAGGCCTGAGCCCATCCGGTGAGTTGGTGGAGGCAAAAATCCTTTCTTTTGGCTTTTTTGGGGGAAGGAGAAGATGCAGAAGTGATGTCTTCATGTACAAGATGTACTTTCCCTAAAAAAGAGGAGCTGTGGCAGTTTGGTGTCGCCAAGCAAGGGCTGGATCCTTGGAATTGCCATGAATGTGTCAGCTCTCAGTTACTGCTCCTTGGAGAATTTATTTATGCATCAAACCCAGGAAATGATCATGAAATCAGCAGTTTCTGCCTTAGTTACAGAAATAATCACCACACCTCGTGAAAGTTTCAAAAGATGGGCAGAATTTCACGTTCTTTGCTTTTCTTCCCAAGGTCTCTGTCAGCTGTCACTTTGTGTGTCCTTCCCCACAGGTTCATTTTTATGGTTCAAATGTAGATGGAGTAAAAAAATTGGGATTTTGGGGCTAGAAGCCAAATCTGGGCTGTTGTGGGAACAGCAGCAAGACTGAGAAGTCCACTCCCTGCTTTATTTCCTAATCTCTCCTTTGTGAAACAAGACCTGGCCTAAAGCTGACAGAGCCAGGCCTGGGATTTGGAGCCTGACATCAGCCTTGCATCTCCTCTTGGCTTTGCTAGTGAGGATTCCACTTCTCCAGAGCTTGAGGAACCTCAAATCCAGTTCTGAACGGGCAGGGGCTCCAGCAATTTGGGGTCTGAGGGAGGGAGGGGTGGATGGAGGTGTTGCTCTGTGCCAGGAATGAGGAATTCCCTGCCCAGCTGGCTCCAGACCTTCTCCTGACTCTGTAGGAATCAGGGATGGGCTGCAGGGATCAGCCCTTCCTGGGTGATGCAAGCAGCAGGATCAGCTGCTGGGACTCTCATGTCCAGTGGCTCCAGGGGACAAATTCCTGGTGGCCAGGAGCGTGGTGAGGCACTGCTGGCCTGGCATTTGTTGCTGTGGGAGGGATGCTGTGACTGGGATCCCATGCAGGAATTGCTCTGCAGCTCTGCTGGCCTCGGGATGGGCTTTCCCAGTGCTTTCCTGCAGCATTTCTGCAGTGCTGCTTTGCATTTATTGAAATGCGGTTTTGTCTGGGGGATCTGCAGTGCAGCAGCTGTGTTCCCTTAGCTCCAGGCAGGCCAGCAGAGGCTGGAGGGGAAGAGGAAGTGAAATCCCTGGAATGTCAGCTCAGGAAGGCGCTGGGAGAGCCTCACATCTGCAGGCACAGAGTTCCTGCCTGTCGGTTATCTTGTTTTACCTGCCCTCTTTCCCAGTGTTTGCAGTTCCTTTGGCAGTTCCCAGACGGTTCTGGGGACATCGTGAGGCCACCCTGGCTTTTCCCTTTGATCCTGACAATCCCTTGCTGTCCATGTCAGCTCAGGTGCTGCTGCAGGACACATTTGCAGAGTTGGATGGTCTTAAAGCAAAGTGGGTAACTGTAAGAAAAGCCAGCTCTGATTTCCCTGCTTTTCCAACAGAGCCCAGGGACAGGACAGGCCCTGCATCCCAATCCTGAGGTGGGATATGAGCAGGATAACAGAGGATTGACAGCTTGGCACTTCCAAATCCAGTTTCTCTTCAAGCAGCAGTTCAATTCCCCTGCAGTGAGGCCACAGAGCAAATTCTCTCTCTCAAGCTGTGAGTTCCTGTCTCTTGACAGATTTAATTTTCACTGACATGAGTGGAAAGACTAAAGCAGCTGCTGTGGGGTGGGGCTGGAGGCAATTTTTTTTCCACAATTAAAAAAATTAAATCTTCAAATAGAATTTGTGCAGGGTTTTTCAGGTTGTTCATTTTGCTCAGACTGAAAACCAGGTCAGGACCTGGAAGTTCAGATCCTTTTCTGGATGTTGTAGCAGTCACAGAGGACATGGAGTTGGGTCAGAGTTCTGGTTTCCTTCCTTAAAAACAGTTTAGGAGCTGATTTTACAGCCAGAGGGTTCCACTGTAGTGATCAATTTGTTATGTCACCAACCACTGAATCTCAGTCCTTCTTCCCAGAATTTAGGCCTGGAATTAAGTTGTACCTTCAAGTTTTAATGGAATAATCTGTCCTAGGGGGCTAAAAGTGCTGATGGGTCATCAGACAGATCCATGATCACAGCCAGGTTTGGGATAGCAGCACTGACCAATCCAAGAACAGCCAGATTTGCTGCTGGAGGAAGCTCTGAGCCAGAGAGCATCTCCAGAATGAGTCAGGAGTGGGATCTCAGTGGGGAAAGTTCTGTTTCTCTCTGAGGCCTTCAGGTACCTTTGAGGGAGCGATATGATGAACTGAGCAGAGCTGTGTTCTATCAGCTTTTCCTTCTCCCCAAGGCTGAACCTTCCCAAAATTGCTTCATCTGCTTCCCATTAAGCAGAGGGTGACAGGCCTGAGCCTGCACGTCCTCAGCCCTCATCCCTCCCTCTGGAAAAATCCCTGTGCCAGGAGGAGGAATTCTCTGCTCATGCTGAAAACTCCAAACTTTGATGTGGTTGCAAGCAGGGGTTGAAGGAGAGAGGGATCTTTGTGAGAAAACATTGTTGTGGATGGAGCTTGGAAGGGAAACAGAATTCCAGGCTGGCTGAGTAAAAACCCTCTTTATGGTCACTGCTCTGTCTCTTCAACTTGAAAACACATTTGAAAGGATCCCATCCCCCAAATATCAGAGAGTGTTTCAGAGTTGGAGTCATTTTAGGAGGACTCTGCTGTCCTTGCAGTGGGACTGGCAGTGTAGGAGTCTCACACCTCCTGTTTCTGGTTTTGTAACCACACAGTAAAAGTTGTCTGAGTGACAAGGCAGAGCTGGGATTCCTCCCACCTCCTGCAAATTGGCTTTTAGGTGATGTTGTCTGTGGAGAGAGCAGGATGATTTTTGTCTCATATATTGCCATTTCTAGTTAAATGCCTTTGGGCTTTTTTTTCCCCTTTGATCTCAAAATCCTTGCTCTGTTGGAAAGGTAAAAAATACCACAGTTCTTTATTTACCATCATTCACCCACTTTTAAAAATGGAATCTCAGCAAGGTCTGAAATGCAGCTGCTGAAGAAAAATCTGGAAAACCATTCCTGGCTAAAAGAAACAATTGCAACAGGAAAAGCTGCCTGCACTGAGGAATTATGTGAGCAGAAATAGGCTTCTCTGAAAGAATCTTTCTGAAAGGATGATTATTTAATAAAAACCACACAAGTGTTAACAGAAGAAGCTTGAGACAGACTGTGTGCTTGTGGAGACATGCAGACAGAGGGAAATAAATGTAATAATTTTATCATTGTGTTTAGAGGAGGCTGGAGGTCCTGGCTTCAAACGCCACTGCAGGCCTGAAGGATGGAGTTTGCATTTCTCCTGATGGTTTATAGCAGTGGAGCAATTCCTGGGCTTGTTTTTGCAAATCTTTGTGGCTCAGCTTTCATTTCTCCCGCTGTGGTTTGAGCCAGGGTAGGGCTGTGAGCCAGAGGCACTTGAGCTGGCAAAAATCCCCGGAGCACCAACCTTCTTTAAAGTAAATAAAGACATTTGTGGTCCCAAATCTGTCCTGGTTTTTTGACTGTCCTGGCTCCTTTCTCCTCACTAAATTCCAAAGGCAAGAAGGCAAAACAGCAGGAGAAAAACTCCCTTCTAAGGAGAGGTCTCTAAAGCAGCACCTGCAGGGCTTGTGGCTCTAGACAGGGACTCCCTGCTGGATTTTTTCTGCAGGGTGGAGAGCAGCAGAACTTTGAGATAAGGCAGAGTCACATGAGAACACTCTGGGAGAGTGCAGGAACTCAGGGAAGCTCCATTTCCTTCCTTGACAGGGAGAATTTTGTCTGACAGCCTCTGTGCTCTCCTTTCTGGCTCCCAGGCTGTCTGTGGTGGTGGTTTTTGCTTTGGTGAAACAGGGAACTTTCTCCCTGCTGCTGTAGAAGAAAACAGGGAAGCTGAGCTGCCTGGGAAGCTCAAAGTCAGGGAGATGAGTGGACGTGCAGGGAATGGCTTTTGGGGCTGTCCCTGTGAAGCATAAATTTTGAAAAATTTAAGATATTAGAACAGCTAAGGCCTTAATTAAAACTAATATTTGTTAAATCTAATAAAAAAACTAATCCTTGTTAAATTTAATAGAGAGGCACTACTAGAGTTAGGAGCTAATCATTAACCGATAACTAATTGTTTTTATAACCTTATGTTTGTTCAGATGGGCTTGTAATGAGAAACGTAAAATCTTGTAAGGAACTTCAAGAACATTAGACAATTGCAAACCAGAAACCAACTGGAAACATGAAACTAGGAACGTGGCCAGGGATTCATTTGTCACTTTGGATTGAAAAGGTAGAAAGGTCAGAATGAGGAAGAGCCATATCCCTTCCTCCCTCCCATGACCCCTACTCATAAAAAGACCACCGACCCATTTTGAAGGACAAACTACACATGCTTGATTGCTTTTTTTCTAATTAGCATAAGAAGCAGAGAGTGGGTGGTAACTGGGTTGTGAATATGTATTTGTATTCAATATCTCAGTAAATACACCTGTATTCACCTGTTCTCAGGGCTGTGTGAATTAAGGGGTGGCCCTGTCCATCGGCCCAGCACTGCCAATAAACACACACTGTGTGACCCCAATCGGTTAAAGAGTCTGTCCAGTACAGCTGGATACTGATACTCGATCATATCCGTATTTTGGTAAATCAGCTGTGGGATGAGAGGGCTCTGCTGGACTCACTCACACCCCACCTCGCTGATGTTGGGGTTCACCTTGATTTTCCTGGCTGCACAAAGCCCTGGAGGTGCTGAGGGGAGGTGACAGGGAAATGGCCTCCTTTAAACCATCTCCATGTGCTGTAGGAGCTCCCTTGGGGCGTGAGCAGAGGGGGCTGCTCCTGGGAATTCTTCCCTCTCCGTTCTGGATCTGTGGAAGCAGGAGGGGAAATTGTCCCCGGGTGTTGCATCACCCTCAGGAGAGATGTTTCCTCAGGGACTGTGGTGACAGGACGAGGGAGAATGGCTTCAAACTTCCAAAGAGTGGCTTTAGATGGGATCCTGGGAAGGAATCCTTCCATGTGAGGATGGAAAGCCCTGGGATGGAATTCCCAGAGAAGCTGTGGTTGCCCCTGAATCATTGGAAGTGTCCAAAGCCAGCTTGGAGCACCCTGGGATGGTGGAAGGCCCTGCTCATGGCAAGGGTGGAATGATGATCTTCAATGTCCCTTTAATGTCCTTTCACCCAAACATTCCACACTTCTGTGATACACCATCAATCCTATGTGTGGTTTCTCCCACTGCACATTCCAGCTCCCATCCGTGCGGTGACGATGGAAAAGCTTTGGAATTTGTGTCCCTGTCACCTGTCCCCTCTGTCCCACAGCATCCTCAGGGCCCAGCGAGTGCCCAGTACCTTCCACGCCCGTTTCTGTGCCCTCTCCAGGACCTACCTGTACCGGCTGCTGCTGGGCTGTGCCCACTACTCCCAGATCCCAGTGTTTGAGCAGGATCTCTGCTGGGCTCCTGCAGGAGGGTGAGTCCATCTCCCTGGGGAGACACCTCAGCCAGGAAATTCAGGGAAAGCCAGGGATTCAGTGCTGTGGGGAGGGGCTGGTGGGGGAAAAAGGGGGGGATCAGGAGGGATTTTCTGGCTCTGCACAAGTCTCTGACAGGAGGGGACAGCCCCAGGTTGGGCTCTGGGACAGGGAGCAGGGCCAGGGTAAAAGGGAATGGCCTCGAGCTGTCCTAGCAGAGGTTTAAGCTGGACATCAGGAGGAATTTCCCCACGGAAGGGTTGTTAAACACGGGGATTGCTGTCCAGGGAGGTTTGAAGTGCTCATCCCTGGAGGTGTCCCAGGAATCCTTGGAGCTCTGGGCTGGGGACAAGGTCACAGGGATTCGTCACAGGCTGGACTCTGATCCTGGAGGGATTTTCCAGCCTCAGCAATCCTGAGATTCCACGTCAGGCTCGGATTTTGTGGGCATAATTCCCACTTGTAAGACCTCATTGCCCGTTCCTGTTGACAAGATTTCAAGAAGGAAATTCCTGGAGTTCCATTCCCTGAGAGCTCCCAGCTCCAAGCCCTTTCTGTCTCACCTGTGCTGACCACAGCTGGCTCTGCTGAAACCCTGAATCCAGCAGGGGTTTTGTGTCCCTGCCCATGGGAGGGATGAGCATTTTCCTTGTGTTTCCTTTCCTTCCCTTCCTTCCTTCCTTTTGCCCATCCCTATGTGCTGCAGAAATGAAATCAGAATTTTAGGTGTGACACACCTAAAATGGGGGAGAAAAGCAGAATTCCTTTATCATTCATTTCCCCCAAAATCTCCTCTGTAAAATCTCCTCTGCTATGCCCTGAGTGCTTTGTGTGCTTGAAAAAGGAGAGCCAATGGCTCTGAATACAAAAAACAAAGCAGGGTATCTGAATATTTACTTTTATTTCTTACAGTAACCACCCAGACACAACAGCTCAGGCTTTTATCTGCAAGGAAAGCAGAACAAACCCAGTACCATTAAAAAAATCTGATTTTAGGGCTTGATGAACAGCCGGTAAGGAAAAAAAAAGAAAAAGCAAACCAACCCCAGAAATTAATTTATTGTCCTTTTAATTTATGCTGTACTGATATAAATATTTTCTAGGCATTATAAAAAGTTGTGGTCAGTCCATCACCACTATTGGGATAACAATTGTGGGTCATGGAAAAAAATCATCATTTCAGCTTCCTGAGGAGAGGAATGAAGATGACAAGGCCTTACTTTAAAGTGCTGACTTTCTTTTCTGTGGGCTGTGGAAGGGGGAGAAAAAATATGAAATGGCAGAAATTAAATAAACATGAAATGTCCACAGTGTGTCTTAATTTCAGGCTTTAGGAAGCAGCATTTGAGTTCAGACACCGCAAAATTCACATTAACCTCCTGTAGGTGTCTGAGTTTCCAGTTAGGAGCCGTCAGTGTGGAGGGATTAGGAATCTGTTATTCAGGGTATTTTTCCTGAACAATCCAGTTTATTTTTCCTGTTTAAAAAAAAAAATGGAATGATGCTGGGAAATCTCATCTTGTTTTTCTTCAGAAACATTTTGATTTCTGGTCAAACCTAAAAACCTTAAGCCAGGACTCAGGTGTACCTGCTGAGGCTTCTCTTAGAAGGAGAATTTTGCAAAACTACACTAAAAATCAGCAAATACATCAGTAAACCTGCCTGAATTCCTTTGCTGAACTCTATTTTGAGCAGAGCTAAATATTTCAAATGAAGAAATCTGAAGATTTGGCCACAGTTTCATCCCATTCCTGCTTCTGCCTGATTCCACCTTTTTGGCTGCTGCAAATCTAAAGATTGGAAAACCACAGGCTTTGATATTTTGGGTTTTTTCTTACCTGGCAGCACCTTTTTGACGCACTGCAGAGCATTTTGCTTCTCTTGGCAGCCAGGAATTTGGGCCGAGTTGATGGAGCGGGGCTGTTCTGGGCAGCACAAGGGGATAAAAGTTTGGGAAGAGCCTGGGGCTTTGAATTCCTGCAGAGCTCGAGTCATTTTGGCCTCTGGGTTTGTGGTTTGGGCCATTCTGAGCTGGAAAATGCATTTCAGTGTGGAATTTGTGTGCCGGGTTTGAGCCTGGTGTAATTCCTTGGGGTTTGAGCCTGGCTTAATTTACTGGGGTTTGAGCCATTCCCAACCTCCTGATCCCACCTTCTCTGTTTGATTCCAGCCCCCTGGACATCCCTGCAATGAGGGAAGCAGCAAAATTCCTGCTGGGAACCCACGACTTCAGCACCTTCCGCTCGCTCAACTCCGAGTCGGCGTTCCAGAGCCCCGTCAGGACCCTGCTCCAGCTGGAAATCCAGCCCTCTCCCGGATTCCTGTCCCACCACTACGAGCACAGGTGACAGCCCAGGTGCTCAGCTTGTTCCTAAAAAGCTGCTTCCAATGGGGTTTTTTTGGGAATTGATTTCCTGCTTGCCCTGTGCTGAGTGTCCTGCTGAGTGACAGCTCAGACAGGACATTTCTCCTCCTTTTTGTTCCTCAGTATCCTGGGGGAAAAAGATGAGCAGGAATGAGGGCAGGGAAGCTGCCCCAGCTGTTTGAGCATGGAACAGCTGGATGGGACAAGCTGGAGTGTGGAATTTGCAGGGAGAAGCTCCTGGGAGGTGTTTTTGCACTATTTACACTCATTCTGGTGCCTAAAATCCGCCTCTGCCAAGGGATTGGGGTTTTTCCCCTCTTTGCCTAAAAGTTGGGAATAGAGGAAAAACCACCCAGCCAAGGCCGGGGTCAGTGCTGCAGATCCCTCCCAGTTCAAACCAGTGACTCTCACTGCATTCCCAGGGGATGCTGATGAAGGGAAATCAAATATTCTTCAATCGTTACATAAACAAAAAGAGAGTTGAGGATCAGGTTCTTTCAGGGCCAGGTCTTACAAGTATTGAAATTAAGTGGCTGAATTAAGCAGAAACTGGAGGTTTTTTTCCCAGAAAGATCATGGATATTTATCACCTGAACACAATATTTGTGTTCTCTCTCTCTGTTATGCCTCAGCTGCAAAACAAACCCATCTCAAACTGCATTTTTGTGCTTTCTAATTGGGGAAAACCCCCCATTTTTGGGTGGTTTTCCCAAGGATCCTCTATTAAATTTGGATATTTGTGAGCTGGAACATCAAGAGCCACGCTCCAAAACCTCAGACCTCAAAAGTGGTTTGCAAACACTGCTCCTTTCCCGTTTTGCCATTTTTCAGCTCAAAACTGGAAGGAATTTGGGGAAACACAGAGATCTCTTTGCCCTGAATTCTCCTGGTCTTCCAGGTCCTCCCAGCTCCTTCCATCTTTTCTAATTCCTGCTTTTCCTGCTGGTGTTGTTGACAAAACACAGAGGTAATTCAGGAAATTTGAGGAATTCCAGGTGGGAATGGGCAGTTGGAAAAGTTTCCCATTTTTTGGAGCTAAAAGCTGCTGTTCCCATGGGGAAAGGAGGACGCTCAGTGCCACAGGGGATCGGGAAATTCCTCATCCACAGGAATTTTTTGTCCTTCAGGAAGTGGCAGAGCCCTGAGCTCCCCTGGAAATCACCTTGTGGACCTTCAAATCCAGCCCAGTTCACTCATCTGAGATTTAAAAAGCTTTTTAATTCCTCAGTTTTAATGGAAAACAGTGAAATTGCCATTCTTTGCATAATTTGCAGCACAATCCCATCCCACATAAGGCCAGGAGCAGCTCAGAGAGAGGAAGCAACCCTAAAAAAAATGGGAAAAAAACCCCACCAAGCTCCTTCCTGCTGGGATATTTTTGGTTTTGGTGACGCATGAAGCCAAACCTGTGTTTTCTAGTGAGTCATTTTTATAATTTATTGATATAAATTCACTTTTAAGGAGTGTTTAGGCTGAAGGGGATGGCTCTGAGGAGCATTAGAATGCTTTGGTAATAACCACAATCATAATTTAAGGGAAAAAATTGTAGGGTTTGGGGTTTTGTGTCATATTTAAATGTTGTGAGGGCTCTTTTATTCCTTTATTTATTCAGGTTTTTTTAAAATTACAGTGTCCTGGTTCCTTTTAATCTGTAAAAATCTCCCTGCGAGAATATTTGCAGTGATGGGGCTGCAAATAAAACAGCAAATATCCCTCAAATACTTTGATTTTTTTCACTGTAGGAGGAGAATGAACTGTTCCTAAAGAGTTGGGGAAAGAGCTCATAAACAGAATTTCTAACTTTTTTTTTTTTCAGCCTCATTTCTGTCTCAAAGGAGGAATCACAGAAGGATAAACTGCATTTCTGTGTCACATAAAGCAGCTTTTCTTCCCAGTTCTCCCCTTCCTTTCTGAATTGACCACTTGTCTGAGCATGGAAACCATTCCTCCCATCACTCCCAGTTGCTGAGCAACGCTGGAAGTGGAGTGGAGTGTCCCAAAAATGCTTTGGAATGTTCAGGATGTGCCCACTCTGTCACCTGGCATCTTTTACTCGCTGCAAGGTGCTGGGTTCTGCTGCCAGCTGGAAAAAAACACAGCTGGAATTTTTTCATCTGTGAGATTGACAGGAAAATCAAGTTTCCCACTTGAAAAAAAAAAAAGGGGGTTGTTCTCATTCAAAGCCTACAGGATTTGTTTCTGTAGGATTTTGACCCTTCTTGTGGAGCTTAATGGATTTTAATGCAACAGGGGCAGGAAAATCTTGGATAAAGGAGGTGGAATGCAGGAGAGAGGGGGAATTTGGCCCTTTGGGGAAAAAATGTCTTCTAAGCCAAGCAGCAGATCTGAGTTGAGCCACAGCCTCAGTGTGAGGGGCATTTGATTGGATGGAAGTGATGGAAACTCCTCATTTCCAATCTCCATCCCCAGTTCTCCATTTCCAATTCTCTGTTTCCAATTTCATTTCTAATTCTCCATCCCCAATTCTCCATTCTCAGTTCATTTCCAATTCTCCATCCCCAATTCTCCATCTCCAATTCCCCACCCCCAAATCTCCATCCCAAATCCTCCACCCCAAACTCTGCATTTCTCATTCCAGTTCTCCCTTTCCAATTCCAGTTCCAATTCCCCTTCCCCAATTCACTTCCAATTCTCCATCCCAAATTCTCCTCCCCAAACTCCACATTTCCAATTCCCCATCCCCAATCCCCAGTTCTCCATTTTCCCAGCTGGCATCAGGAGCTGCCAACTTCCACACCAGGGATGTCCAAAATCAGGGGTTTACCCATAAAGCTGGGGAAAAGCATCTTGGGACTGCTCCCTCCACTGACTTTTCAGTGTCTCTCTTATTGTTCCCTTTATTAACTGGGGAGGGTGGAATTTTGGGATGCAGGCACTGGTCATTCCTGTGTGGACCTCTCTGATGTGTGACACTATTTGTCTGTGGGTTTTTAGATATTTAATAGGAATATCAGATTTTTTTTCCATTTTTAGGAAAGAATTGTTTTCCAGCAAAGGAGCTGTCAGGTGTCCCAGGTGCTGTTTCAGCTTAATTGGGGCACTGCAGGTTAATTACTCGCATTCACCTGTGACTTATGTTTTAAAAACCACTTGAAATTTGATTTAAATTATTTTTTTGTGCTATTTTTTAGGGGACTGGAGTTCTGGGAGGTGAAGGTCAAGGGCAGAGCCTTCCTTTACCGACAGGTACTGTCTGGAGCTGCTGCAAGACCCAAATTTTAGTGCTGCCACTCTAAAAATGGATTATTTGAGCAATGTTCCAGTTGTGTGACACAGGGACCTGCAATCAGCAGCATGAGGATCTGGGCTCTTCCTTCAGTCAATTAACCCCAAAATTTCCTAAATTTGTGCCTAAAACCCTCACAAAATCATGTGAGAGGGTGGGAAAATGGTGTTTGCCACATCTCTGCCCTCGCAGTGGTAAAACTTCTCTTTAATGTTCTTGCTCAGCTCAGTGGATTCAAGCCTAGGAAGAGCTGCCTGGAATTTCACTTCCTGGCTTTTTTTTGGGGGGGAAAAAAAAGGCTTTTTTTTTCTGCACAAACTGCAGGAATTCTCCCTCTGCCATGAAACTCCCCTGGATTCTCTTGGAAATAATTCCAAATTATTCCCCTGGGGGTTTGCTGTGTCCTCAGCTCTTCCCAAATTCAAGAATTATTCCCAGCTCTCCTGGCCCCGGAGCAGGGAAGAGGCAGGAGAAGGTTTATTTTTTGGAGGAGAGGGGGTGTTTTGTGGGAGCAGCAAGCAGCTATTTTTTAATTGTTTTGATGTTTTGACAACCCAAATTTGTGGGTTTTTATCGAGTGCCAAGCAAAGCTCTGAAGCTCTGGCAGGGGAGCAAGGGAAGGACAACAAATTTGAGGAGGGCTTGATGGGCAGGGATTTGGTGCCAAGGTGACAAGAAAATAGTGCTTTTAGTATTTTAAATTTTAATAGTAATAATAGTAGTTTTAATAATATTAATAATTTTAATATTTTAATATTAAATGTTAAAATATTAATATTGTTACAATTATTAATATCCAAATGTAACCATTTAGAGATTGAAAAAGGGAAAAATGAGAAGGGAAATTCCAATTAGTGGCACTGCAGAGGGAGCAGGAGTTGCTGATATTCACCTCAGGTGATGCTGGGGCAGGAATGGGGTATGAGCACCTCAACAACCTTTATCCCTTTTTCTCTCCATTCCACACCTGAACCACTGATCTCACCTCAACCTGGGAGTTTTTCTTGGAGGAAAAGGTGAAATCATCCCAAAAGCTGAATGTGGGTATTTTTTGAAACATGGAGGCACCAAGCCTGCGGGTATTTGGGATGAGAGCCATAACTCTGCTTTTTTCTAGCCAATTCCCTGTGTGGAGGCATCAAAGCCGAAGTGGTGGCATGCAATGACCTCTAGTGAGGGTGGATAAAATAACAAAGCAGGAGGATTTGAGCTGCTTGGAGAGAAGTTCTGGGCACTCCAAGATCCCAGAATTTCCCTCTGGATAAAAACACCTTGGAGTTTTGAACCTTTTTTAAGGGATAAGCACAGCCATGTTGCTCAGTGCGCTTTGTTTTATCCTTTTTTTAAAATTATTGAGTCACAAACTCAGCCCAGGGACTCATTCCAGCACTGCAGGAAGGATTTTGGAGAGTTTGGAAAGGCATGAATGGAGGGAATGTTTGTTAAAGTCCAAATGAGGGATGGATGTGGGCACCACACAGGGAGAGGTGAGGGTGGAGAATTGGGGGTGCAGAATTGGGGATGGGGAATTGGGGATGGAAAATGGGAAATGAATTTGGGATGGAGAACTGAAAATGGAGATTTGGACATGGAGAATTTGGGATGAGAATTGGGGGTGGAGAATTGGGGATGGAGAATTGGGGATGAGAATTGAAATGGAGGATTCGAGGTAGAGAATTGGGGATAAGAATTGGAAATGAATTGAGGATGGAGATTTGGAGGTGGAGAATATAAGATGGAGAGTTGTGGATCAGAGGTGGAGAATTGGGGTGGAGAATTCAGGATGGAAAATTAGAAATGGAGAGTTAGAAATGGAGGATTAGGGACAAAGAACCACGTTTGGGGTGCAGGCGGCGTTGGCAGCCCCAAGTCTTGGCCCTCAGGGAGCAGCTCCCGAGGACCCAGGAGGGATTTTTTTTAGCCAGGAGTGATTTTTTTTAGCCAGGAGGGTGCTGAGGAGAGCAAGGTGAGCACTGAGTGTGAGCTCTCTGCCCACCCAGCAGCTCCAGAATCTCTGTGCGGGGAG